CCAGACCTCAGCCCCCCCCACCCACGTGCAGCACGAGGGCCGAGGAGGGATTGGCATGGAGCCCCGAGGTCTGGAGCGGGCAGGAGACGTTCCGAGCGCTGCCAGGAGACGGAGGATCAATTTTTAACGTGATATCCTGTTTTATGCAACATAGGAAAATTAACTCTTAGCGTAGCGTTCCTACCTCAGCCCGTAGGTACTGGTGTTTCTATGCAGTGCGTGGTAGCCCCAACCCCGACGTTTTCCACCGCGGGCTGAAGACGCGGCGTCCCCTCCTCCTCCTCACCGCCGATGCCCGGCGCGATGCCGTCCCAGCGCGGCGCCCGGCCCCGCACGCGAGACATCGTCCTGCCAAGCGCGGCGCAGCCTCCGAGCACCGACCTTGGAAACCTCCTGCAGCAGCTTCCTCCAGCGTAGCGACGAGCCCAGTCCCAGTTTACCTCTGCAGTTTCCACCCAGCGTTTTACTGCAAAACCGCGAGAACTGGTGATTTCCCATCGTATGTTTCTCCTGTACGTTCCATACTACGTCTTGTGTTTCACTACCTGTTAGTTTTACCTGTCTTTATATTAAAATGTCGTTTCCATAGATTCTTGTATCAGAAAAAAAAAGATCTCCTAATAGCGTACTGCGTCTTTAAGCAGTAGATGGTAAAATACCTGAAAATGTGAATTTCTTAGTTTTCATAAAGAAAAATCTAGAAATTAACCTTTCATGTGCCAAATACTGTAAGTTACATTTTTCCTTCAAAATGTACCTTTTTCTACATATTCAATATCTTAGTTAGCATAAAATCATTGGTGCCATGAAAAGTATTTTTAAATTTAAATAAATATTTAAATATCATGAAAGCCAGAGTCGGTATGAGATTTGTTCCGTATTTACGGTGCCAGTACCCATTTTTTTTTTCACTTGAGTAAAAACTCAGCTCAAAAGCCCACGAGGAATTTGGCCTTTCAGCCTCCCACACCCCGAAGTTACCGGAACCAAACCCCGCTGGCAGCTGTGCCGGCCCCAAAAGCACCGTCCTGCCACGCTCGT